TTCGCGTTATTGTGTGCCTCTTCGCGCTAATGATAATGCTTTTTCGCTTGAATGAATATTCCTTTGCGGTTAATGAACAGCAAAAGGTGTAATAAGAAACCAAGCCGCGAACCCTTAATAGAATATAATTAGTAAGTGACTTTCACAAGTAGACCTCACTATCTTGTTTTATCTCCATCGTCATTGGCTCTTAGTAAGTTGTGCGATGGCACTAAGAATAGTAATGCTTATAAACAGGAGACACTGGAACCGGCTTTAATTTKAGTGACATTTCAGTCGTATTTTTATCGAACGAACATAAAACTAAGCTGGAGCAATATATTGGCTTCGATGTAGTGGCATATATTCAAGATCTACCCCAACAAACGGTTCAGTATAAATACTGTTATGTTGTACAGGTTTAAAAGAGAGTCACTTACGACTGGTTTAAAAAGGGGCGTGTTTCAGACTAACGAATTTGGTGTTTGTAAATGAGATGCTGACGCTTTAGATATGTAATGACGTATTASTCGACGATCTGGTTGTCAGATCAAGTAGTGGCTGCGATTACTTTCGAAAGTGCATTCTCAATACTCTTTCTTCATGGTTCGTTTGAAGTGAAAAAAAAWATTTAGTGACACAATTTACTAAAAAAAGACTTAAACCGAGTGTACCATCTACGGAAWGTCAAGCAAWGAATTTTGAGTCGTGTAATCGTGAGAGAATTATATTAATAGACCGTTTTACTGACACGGTCTTTAATTAAGGGATGCCAAGGGGGRAAATACGTAGAACATTTATAAAGAATATTAGAGTGGCGGGGTGACGTATTCACTAAATAATTTGAAGTCTTTGTCATTCTTTCAGCACATTTCATTTCAACTACCAGCACATTGCTTTTTAGATGTGCTTGTGATTGAAAAGCGTAAAGTTATATAAGCAGAGACCCTGACAGCTCAGCAGTCTATAAATTTATAAAAGTCTATAAATAGTTGCCCCTTAGCATCCCATAATGTCTTTATATTAAGACAACCAAATTCAAGATGGCCGCTGTATCTGTAAAAAAAGGTTTATATTGACGTCATTATATGACACAAAGTCTGTGCTTGCTGCCATCTCTTCTAGTCTCTTCTTCGTAAAAATAAGTCATAATTATTATATATCAGTCCCTCTTGGTTTATTTAGAAGTTTATCTGCAATATTTGAATAGGAAAAGTGTTTTGAATGACTTTCAACTTTTACCGGCTTATCAGTGAAGCAGTTTCGGAACTGTTTGAAATTGCATTCGCATGCTTCATAATAATGTCAATAATGTCTCAATACAGTGTTATTATTTGTATTTTTAATCGTTAGTTGCGTCTCGTAATGTTGCTTCACAAACCTCTGTTAACCCTTTGTAYGATGAAATGGCTGAGTTAAGAAAAAACCTTTCCAYCCTGTCCACACAAATGGTGAGTTTTTTCTTCATTCTTTTTACTATTGAAGTTATCGAATAGTCCGTAATGGTTGAGTTATACCACCTACATCTATGCCTAAAACAAACTTGCATTAGATTGCTGAAAACTGTTTTTACAATTTCTTAAATATTGGACTAAGTTGTGACGTATTTCCAGGTCAAACTGCTCACGAAAAAACGCAATGAAAGTAAAACGAAAACTTTTCCCAMTGATTTAACCWCCACCTGAAACAATTAGAACATTGGACAAACAATCCTGGAAAAAGAAAACTTTGTTATAGAAATACTTTTCGTTCTGGACCCAGAAGTCGTTTTTCCGTATGATTGACGTCGCACTTAAAGCTCTATATGACTATACCCCATCATGCAACGCGGTTAGGTACCAGATCCTACGCAACTTCAAGATGACATTTGTTTTTCCTTTTTTCAGACACAAGAAATGAGAACATTACAAAATAAACTAAACACAGCAGAACAGCGAATAGAACTCCTTAAGACGAACGTGAGCATCACGACTACAAGTCTCCAGCAACAATACACCGCCGTAAACACTAAAGCAAGGGAGAATGCGAATGAYATAACATCACTGAAGAATGGGTTGACTACAGTGTGGTTACAAGCAAACACGACTAGGGATAAACTTGATGCTCATGTTAATGAGTACAATGCTCTTAAATCACAGGTAGGGGAACGCCTTAGCGACCAAAAGAAAATTTTAAATTAGACAACACTAAATTATTTCAAATAAAAATTCTTTGAAATGCTTTTCGAGAAACTAAAACCAAACTCAATCAAACCAAGTTTGGCAAAGTTTGATTCAGTTACAATTCATTTTGTACATTCTTCATAAGAATTGGGCATCAGTCACTGACACTGAGAATATGACCGCTTTAAATACTTCAAATTACTCTTTGAGAAAAAAGTGAAAAGGAGTGCGACTTTTGTGTGTGTTTTTTTTTTTTCTGGACTCAGTTACGCAGTGTTTGGTATTTTTTACCACCAACAGTGAGCAGATCTACATTTCATAAATAAAAGTGTTTAAAACAGCAGTTTGGTTATTCCACGTGTAAAGCCGGGGACTCAGTGCAGTCTTAACTTATTTCTTCATCTTTTTTTCCTTCTGAACAGCTGGAAAATTATACCACAGTGTTGAGAACAGCGGATGAGTCGCTCACAACCTTCGTAGATAATATCAACAATACACTTACAGCAAAGGTAAGGTTAGCTCAAACTAAGCGAAGAACAATGAATACGAATTTGTAATGGTGGGTGGACCACGGTACCTCCTCGCTGTGAATTGACCTTTTTCAAGTAAGTAAAAGTGACTCCTTTTGGAAAACAAAGACAAAAGTGAGACTAGGTCAACRGGTTTGTGTGTTTTAAAAAGGGAGCTTCAGATCCAATTTGACCTCAGGTGACTACTTTGTTATGTGGGACCTTTTTGTAGGAACTAATTTCACACATTTCATAAATATGGTGGAAAAATCTCGGGACCTTGCAACTAGCTGTCCGTTTAATAAATGGTGTACGCTGAAAGAAAGGCTCGCTTAATATAGACGTGGTCCCTGTGTAAAGCTCGGTACAATCAAGCCTTTTTTCCTGGGAAAAATGAAAGAAAAAAATACTCCTCCATTTCAAAATTTTAGGTTAACAGTTGTGGTTTGAAATTCAAATGAGATTGTTTTTGCTTACATGAACAGATTGATGCAGTGTCTAAGATGCCAGGACCTCCAGGACCACAGGGTCCCCCTGGAATCAACGGTACTCAAGGAATCCAGGGTCCACCGGGGATAGATGGAACTCCAGGRTCWCCMGGTGTACCGGGGKCTAATGGTTCAACAGGCCCGCAGGGGGCTCCTGGTGCAACAGGAGAACCAGGTCCACGGGGCTTCAATGGTTCAGCAGGACCCGTTGGTCCAAAGGGAGACCAAGGAGCAGGAAATCTTACACAATGTGTGGTGAAGACAAAAAAAGAAGTAGCGACTAGCGGGCCTGCTGCAGAACGGACAGTCACTGTAACAGAGGGAATTGTAAGCTATTTATCTGTTAGTTCAGTTTATTGCGGTTCTACACATTAATATTACAAAAAGAATCAAAAATTATCAATATATTAGATAAAAAGAAGCATAGCACTTGGCAAGGTTCAATATATCAGGGCTCTCGACCCCTAAGTAAACTCTGCTTTGTTGGCTTCTTGGCACCAATTCACTGGCTTGGAGAAATCGTTAAGATGGTCGATTTTAATATATTGTTAATTTAATCTCAACAGGGGAAAAAGATTCTGAGCGCCTCATGTTCATCCAATAAAGCAGATACAGTAGAACAAGGAATAGGAGCCAATAATGCTGGACAGAAAACTTTCGTATGTACATGCTATGGACAAGGAAGCTACACTAACTTCCCGCCAGGCAGTATGATATGTTACATAACCTACACAGAGTGTCCTCTGATCTCATGATCACTTTCCAAACAAACTTTTTATACTTCCAAACATCATTCACCATTGTGGTTCCAATATGACGTTTTGGACTAAAGGCCTTGATATTTGGCGATAGGCAATTCAACTTGYTGATCAATGTCGGCTATCGCTTGTCGTATAGAACCTCTATGGCCAACGTCTACAGCGCGGGCCACTTGACAATTCTGAGAGCGGGGTGGCGGCTAAGTCAGTAGAGGTTCTACTGTAGTTGCAATCCATTGTAGAACTGAATTTTTCGTGGTTTTAGACAGTTCTTAGTTATTAACTCTTTATATAATTTTAAAGATTTTTTAAGCAGAAAATTTTCAACTTTTCAAGTTTTTAGGGGGCTTTCATTTATTAGCACATGGAAGTTGGGGGAGGGGGGGGTACGTTATTTTGATTAAGTTTAGAGGGACACGAATAGAAGGATAATGTAAATAGTAAAATTGTATATATACTTTATAAATATCATATTCAGTACAGCTAGCCGCTGGGATTGTCGCAGCTGCATTAACCAAGATACTAARCCTAGGAACTATACCTATAAATGAAAATCACGTAAAGAAAAAAGTTTCAAATTGATACGTATCATATTTTAATGACACACCTCCATTATTACAGACAGTCATGTCATGGAGAACGGACGGGATACCCGCGGGATCCTCTTGTTAGTGATTTATACAGAAAAATGAGAAGTGACTGC